TTTGGGGGGGATTTAGGGTGGTTTTGGGGTATTTTGGGGGTATTTTGGAGGAGTTTTGGGATTTTTTTGGGGGGGGGATTTTGAAGCCATCAGCACACACAACGTCAGGGTGAGGGGTTGGGGGAATTTTGGGGGATTTTGGGAAATTTTGAGGGGATTTGGGGTTTTTTGGGGGAATTTTGGGGGGATTTAGGGTGGTTTTGGGGTATTTTGGAGGAGTTTTGGGGGAGTTTGGGGTTTTTTTTTTGGGGGGATTTTGAAGCCATCAGCACGCACAAAGTCAGGGTGAAGGTTGGGGGAATTTTGGGGGGATTTGGGGATATTTTGGGGGAATTTTGCCTGTCCCTGTGTGTCCCTGTCTGTCCCTAAAGATCCCCTGGGTGTCCCTGCCTCTCCCCTGTCTGTCCCCGGGTGTCCCTCTGTCTGTCCCTGCCTGTCCCCACATGTCCCTGAGGGTCCCCTGGGTGTCCCCGAGGCTCCCCTGGGTGTCCCCTGTCTGTCCTCGAGTGTCCCCTGCCTGTCCCCGAGTGTCCCTGGGTGTCCCTGGGTGTCCCCAAGGCTCCCCTGGGTGTCCCCTGTCTGTCCCCAGGTGTCCCTGTGTGTCCCCAGGTGTCCCCTGTTTGTCCTCTGTGTGTCCCTGCCTGTCCCCACATGTCCCTGAGGGTCCCTTGGGTGTCCCCGAGGCTCCCCTGGGTGTCCCTGTCTGTCTCCAAGTGTCCCCTGCCTGTCCCTGCCTGTCCCTGGGTGTCCCCAAGGCTCCCCTGGGTGTCCCCTGTCTGTCCCCGAGTGTCCCTGGGTGTCCCTGGGTGTCGCCAGGTGTCTCCAAGGGTCCCCTGTGTGTCCCTGCCTGTCCCCACATGTCCTTGAGGGTCCCTTGGGTGTCCCCAAGGCTCCCCTGGGTGTCCCCTGTCTGTCCCCGAGTGTCCCCTGTCTGTCCCTGGGTGTCCCTGGGTGTCCCCAAGGCTCCCCTGGGTGTCCCCTGTCTGTCCCCGGGTGTCCCTGGGTGTCCCTGGGTGTCCCCAAGGCTCCCCTGGGTGTCCCCTGTCTGTCCCTGGGTGTCCCTGGGTGTCCCCAAGGCTCCCCTGGGTGTCCCCTGTCTGTCCCCAGGTGTCCCTGGGTGTCCCCAGGTGTCCCCTGTTTGTCCTCTGTGTGTCCCTGCCTGTCCCCACATGTCCTTGAGGGTCCCCTGGGTGCCCCCAAGGCTCCCCTGGGTGTCCCTGTCTGTCCCCGAGTGTCCCTGGGTGTCCCCAGGTGTCCCCAAGGCTCCTCTCTCTGTCCGTGTGTGTCCCCTGTGTGTCCCTCTGTCTGTCCCTGTGTGTCCCTGTGTGTCCCCTTGGTGTCCCTCTCTGTCCCCCGAGTGTCCCCGAGTGTCCCCGAGTGTCCCCAGCCCGTTTTTGGGGCGCAGCTGTTCCTGTTCCAGCTCCTGCGGGGTCTCGCCTTCTGCCACCGCCACAAAGTTCTGCACCGCGACCTCAAACCCCAGAACCTCCTGCTCAGCCGCCGGGGGGACCTCAAGCTGGCAGACTTCGGTCAGGGCACCCCAAAAACCTGACCCGGGACCCCAAAAACTCACCTGGGACCCCAAAAACCTGACCCGGGACCCCAAAAACCTGACCCGGGACCCCAAAAACCCCCAACCCCCCAAAAAAAACCCATAAAACCCCCCAAAAAAACCATAAACCTCGCCAGGATCTGCTCAGCCACTGGGGGGACCTCAAGCTGGCAGACTTCGGTCAGGGGAACCCGAAAACTCACCTGGGACCCCAAAAACCTGACCCGGGACCCCAAAAACCCCCAACCCCCTCAAAAAACCCCCCAAAACCTCCCCAAAAACCATAAACCTCGCCAGGACCTGCTCAGCCGCCGGGGGGACCTCAGGCTGGCAGACTTTGGTCAGGGCACGCCGAAAACTCACCCGGGACACCAAAAACCTGACCCGGGACCCCAAAAACCCCCAACCCCCCAAAAAAACCCCCCAAAACCTCCCCAAAAACCATAAACCTCGCCAGGACCTGCTCAGCCGCCGGGGGGGACCTCAGGCTGGCAGACTTTGGTCAGGGCACCCCGAAAACTCACCTGGGACCCCAAAAACCTGACCTGGGACACCAAAAACTTGACCCGGGACCCCAAAAACCCCCACCCCCCCCCAAAAAACCCATAAAACCCCCAAAAAAACCATAAACCTCGCCAGGACCTGCTCAGCCGCCGGGGGGACCTCAAGCTGGCAGACTTTGGTCAGGGCAACCCGAAAACTCACCTGGGACTCCAAAAACTCACCCAGGAACCCAGAAACTCATCTGGGACCCCAAAATCTCACCTGGGACCCCAAAAACTTACTCAGGAACCCAAAAACTCACCCGGGAACCCAAAAACCTGACCTGGGACCCCATAAACTCACTCAGGAACCCAAAAACTCACCTGGGACTCCAAAAACCTGACCTGGGACCCCAAAATCTTCATCTGGGACCCCAAAAACTCATCTGGGACCCCAAAAACCCCCTCAGAACTCCACTAAACTCTCCAGGACTCCATTTTGTGCCACCCTCAACCCATTTTTTGCCCCCCCAGCCCCATTTGGTGCCCCCCCAGCCCCATTTGGTGCCCCCCAGCCCCATTTCATGCCCCCTCAGCCCCATTTGGTGCCACCCCAGCCCCATTTGGTGCCCCCTGACCCCTCTGTGCCCCCCAAGCCCCATTTCGTGCCCCATTTGGTGCCCCCTGACCCCGCTGTGCCCCCCAGGCCTGGCCCGGGCCAAGTCCATCCCCACCAAGACGTTCTCGAGCGAGGTGGTGACGCTGTGGTACCGCCCGCCCGACATCCTGCTGGGCTCCACCGAGTACAGCACCCAGATCGACATGTGGTGGGCACTGGGAGTACTGGGAGGGACTGGGATGGGCACTGGGGGCACTGGGAGGGACTGGGATGGGCACTGGGGGCACTGGGATGGGCACTGGGGGCACTGGGATTCA